AACTGCCCCCACCCCCACCCCTGCCAGCCTGGTTGCCCCACACAGCCTGCTGTTCAGTCATTTGGTCATCCCTCACTAACCCCCCTGCTAGCCTGGTTGCCCCATGTACCTGCTTATTCGGTCTTTTGGGAGTCCCTCACTAACCCCCCTGCCAGCCTGGTTGTAGGCAGCCATCTTGTGAGGGTGTGAGGGTTAATTTGCATATTACCTCTTTATTACATAGGAGGGGATGGCCAGTAAGGATATATTAGAATTTCTATTATCTGTTTTGAAAAAGTTAGTGACACCTTGTTCTTGAAATTTTTATTAATAATACAACATTTATAGATGTCAATTCTTGTTATAAATATAGGATAAATATGTATATCTTACCCACAATGAAAGTCAGGTGAGAAGCCATTGGAAAACAGCTTTAAACTCTTTTCTCTGTGACAAGGGAACGAGGTGCTAGGTTGATATATTTAGTCTTAGGGCCTATGTTATGGCTTTAACAGATTACTAAATCTCAAAAATTTGGTATTGCAAGCCATTCTTCCTTGCTTGCTTGCTTAATTTCTTTCTTTTTTAAAAAAATAATTTAGTCAGGAAGCCATTAGGAAGGCCTAAATAAGAAATCCCAGTGAGGCCAATGAGCAAATATATTGAAGGTAATGGGAGCCAGGCTCGTGCTGGCAGAGAGGAAAGTTACAAATATAAAAAGGGAGAAAGCTAGAGTGAACCCTGTGCTATGAACTGGGATTTGAGGTATTGGTCTGAACTATGGAAAAATTATATAAATAAAAATTTCAATATAGGAACAAATAGAAATGTGATAGTATATGTGTATATGTGAATATGTACATACATCTATGTACATACACAAATGAAACATATGTATTTCCTAACTCTGCTCACTGAAAGGGCCAGGATGTGGTGACATCCCAGTGAATATAAGCACATTTGTTGTCCAGATCTTAGTCTCTAAATACCAGTCTTTGCTAAAAGGAACCGTAGATCTTTGAAAAAAATTTTGGTTCTAGGGCTGGGGGAGAGAAGGTACAAATGAGTTTTGGAAATCTTGTGCAAAAAAATATAGATGCTTTTAAAGAATCATGGGAAGATGACAAAAAACCAACAACACAGCAACCAGATTGAAGGAATTCCCACTAAAAACCTGGGAGTATCTAAATAGCAAAACAATAATGATGTTATAGTCTATCCACTAAACAAACCAGACACCCATGGGGCTGTACTGATACAAATAAATGCATGAATAAGTGTGTGTGTGTGGGGGGGGGGGGGGGCAGAAAGTATTTTCTTAAAATAGGATGGTGTCTGATAAATGGAAAGAATTTAGAGATTTGAAAGATGGTAATTTGGTAATCATCATCATAATTCAGGTAAGAGATGTCAGTGGATGCTAAAACTAGTCAGTGAAAGTTGGATGAGGATCAGGATATTTGTATAACCACAAAGTATCTGTCTACCAACCCTTATTATCGAGGGCAATACAGTAACTCTACTGGAGAAACTGGGAAGATTCGACCTTAGTCAAGTGATCAAGTTACTGTCACCAGTGACGTGACAAACTGACATCATGTGTCACTTGATGGGATGTAATTAGAAGCACACAGCATTAGTTCACAAAAATATAATCTTTGAATTTTCTCATGAGAAAACCTGACTAGTACCAATGAGGGGCATTCTGCAAAATAATTAACCAGCAACCTTTAATAATGTAAGCACCGTGAAGGTCAAGGAAGAGCTGGTCTTGCTCCAGATACAGTGAGACTGAAGAGAGAGGACAGCTAAGTACAAAGTGTGACCCTGGAACAGATGTTTGGCTAGAACGACCATTATTAAGTGGTGGGCTCAGCTTGAATGGAATGTCTGGGTGAAGAGAACATGGACTTTTTTTTTTTTGAGCCGTTTCTACAACTTTCCTGCAAGTTTGAAGTTCTTTTAAAATAAAAAGTTATTAGTACAGAAATGCCTACCTTTTAGTTTTTTTCCTCTAGGCTACAAATTAAAAGAAATAGTTTCTGAAGTGTATTTTATTTTTTTATTTTATGTGTATAAGAATCTTATGGCGTTTAACCATTCAATCAGACTGAATAGTTTTGGATATTTGTGAAATTGTTGTATAGAGAATAGTATAGTTTCATGAAATCAGGGCTTTTCTGGGTGTGTGGTGTAATTTGTATACCTATACAAAGGCACTCAATTTTGACTGAGAGAAAAATCAGAACATTAGAGTGTCTTAGGGTCGACACTGAAAATCATAACAATGGTGAGGCATTTTATATTAAAGGGATTATGAGTGGGTGCTCTGGACTCAGACTACCTGGGCGCAAATCCTGCCTCTGTCAGTTACTAGCTATCTGACATTGAGCAAGTTAACTAACCTTTCTGTTTCTCATCTTGTTGGTAAAAGAGGACCTATGTTATGGAGTTATTGTAAGGAGCGTGTTACTATTATCAGTAACGTGTTTAAAGGATATTTGGTGCAGAGCTATTAACGTATTTATTATTGTGTGCTACTGTTGCTACTGCTACCACAATACCTATAATTTATATAAATATAGAGAAGTTAGTTAAAAGAAATGCCATTTGTTAGTTGAACATTTGTTCTCTCTTCACATAGGTGAATACTAACGTCTTGTACGCATCCCTTACGATGCTTCTTTGATCCCCAAAGCCAACCCCTGCCCTTAGGATTTCTTTACTGTTTTCCAAGGGGGAGGCAACACATTTTAAATGTTTACAAAGCAAAGTGGAAATAATAATGGGATCAAAGAAAAATACAAAGAAAACAGCATTGGAAAATCAGAGAACCAAGATAAAAAATATTTACTTTGGCAGAAATGCCTAGGAAATATAATGACTGCAGGTCTTATTTCAAGTTCACGTATTGAATCTCAACATGTTTACACATTTGCAAATGTAAGTAAATTTATTCACCAAATGGAGCCAGCTCACACAGAATATCCCTGAATGGAGGGGACTGTAGTGCTTGGCACTATTGTCCGTAATATACTCAGCATCCTGCCACCTGCCCCAGGCTCTTAAGGACTTCCTGTCCCCAAAGGGTTTCCAGTCGAGTTCATGATATATCATACATCATGCTTAAGAGAATTAAGTATTATGCAGTTTTATTTATTTGTGCTCTGCTTCTTTCCTAAAAGAGTTTGAAAAAAAAATTGTCTAGTAACCTAATAAGTGCCAAATTATCCAGGATAGACCAGCATTAGCAAAGTATACATTGAAAGAAGAGACCAATTGGCAGAGTGAGAGGAGAGAGACTCTGACTAGTGCCTACAGGAATGGGTAATGAATGCCTAAACAGATAGATGAAAACATGCTGCAGTGGAAGAAGGGAGGGCTTCACAGAATATATGCATTTTTCTCATTGCTAGGGAATTTTAGAACTATACACACATTAGTGATCAACTAGTTGAGCAAACTCAGGCATAGCCCATTAGTTGTAGTTCTGCTTAAAATTTAAACCCACCTTTCCTCCCCTTAATTCAGCCTCTTTATAATTCATCCTGACTTGTAATATTTAAAATTTTGAATCACACTTATGTATTTTGAGAAAGACTAGCAACCTCAGGGGAATAAATCAAGTAGAATTCCTCATACCATCTAGACTTTAAGAGTCTTTGGAGTATTGTACCTGGATGTATGTCAAGGCAGTACATGTAGTGATTAAGAACTTAGAACCTACAACCAGAATCCCCAGGTTCAAATCCTGGCTCTGATATGTATGAGCTGCTACATTTTTTTCATCTGTATAACAGTGTTGGAAGAAGAAGCAAATGAGGTTACATGTGCAAAAGTACCTGCTGCATAGGAAGCTTTCAAAAACTGTTAACGTAACTAGTATAAATGTCTAATATGTAGAAATTAAACATGTTAGTACTTTCTGAAGACTTGGGACATTTATATGACTCAGCAGTAACCATACAACACCTCCCCCACCCACTTCCCATAATGTTCTAATAAATCATTGGCTTTTGTCCACAGGTACTATCATCTGGTGGCATTATTCCATGTTTATATTCCATGGAGATCTAGATCTTGATTTGGAAGTTTATGACAAAATGATCAGCATGTGACTTGACATCAATATTACCAGTGAAGGTAAGTTAATTTTATTTATTTCAAAGCATAGAAAATAAGTATTAATATGTTTTGATCTAGACTCTCAGTGGTTCTCAACCTTCCTAATGCCGCGACCCTTTAATACAGTTCTTCATATTGTGGTGACCCCCAACCATAAAATTATTTTCGTTGCTACTTCATAACTATAATTTTGCTACTGTTATGGATTGTAATGTAAATATCTGATATGCAGGATGTATTTTCATTATTCGCGACCCACAGGTTGAGAACTGCTGAGAGCATATCAAATTAGATTCTGGTTTTTTAAAGTTGAAAGAATTATGAAAACCAATTTAAAAAATAAGATACGTGAATAAAGAGGAAACACTTGTTTTCCCTTAAGGCTATGAGAAACTTCATAAAAGGCATCTTCATATCAATTTGTGAAGTCTCCAGTACCTAGTTGTTGGAACAATGTAAATGTGAGGAGACCACAAATACTAAACCAGGAAGCTGCTTCCTGCATGACCTACACAGCTGATAAGCTGACCAGGAGAACCTTGGAGATGCAGACGAGGCTGTACACAGTAGCAGGAAGTGAGAGGAGAGCCTCTCACACTCTATTCCAGTGGTTCTCAAGCTTCCTAATGCCGGGACCCTTTAATACAGTTCCTCATGTTTTGGTGACCCCCAATTTCTTTGTTACAAATTAAACACAATTAAAGCATAGTGATTAATCACCAAAACAATATGTAATTATATATGTGTTTTCCGATGGTTTTAGGGTCGTTTGACCCCCAAAGGGTCGTGACCCACAGGTTGAGAACCACTGCTCTAGTCCAAGGACTCCGGAGGCTTGACAGAGAGAACATTTTTCCTGAGACCCCTGCTCATTTGGTGCCTAAGTTGATTGCTCTATTCTCTCAAATATGGAAGCTTTTTTTAAAAGTAAATCTGGGGAACTTTCAATACATCTCTTTTCTCCTCTCTATAGAGGTTGTTCTTAACCTCCTCTGTTCACCTCAGACTTCCTTTCCTGCGAACTTGTTGCTTACTTATCTTATGGTCAGAAGAGAAGCATTAGATATCAATTCTCTTAGCTTCTGAACCTACAGCCACACAAGTAGGCAGTGCCCGCCTCTGTGCCTTTGCCCTAAATGGAAGATGGGCCACCCCTCAGTCCCACTCCGTTCCGTTCCCTGCTTCCCATGCTCTGGAACCTACATCAACTTCTCCCTCCTCTTTATCACCTATCATTTTTGCCACATTTTCCTTTCTTTCCATCTGCTCATTCTTATTTCTTCTTTTTAGTTGAGATATAATGCGTATGTCTCAAAATTCTCCATTTTAAAGTGACAATTCAGTAATAGTATACTCACAGAATTGGCTTTTGTCCACAGGTACTATCACCATGATGTAATTCCAGAATATTTTCATCACCACAAAATATTTTCACCATCACTTTACCCATTTATAGTCACTCTCCATTCCCCTTTTCTCCTCAGCCTCTGGAAACCACTAATCTACTTTCTGTCTCTACAAATTTGCTTTTTCTGGACATCTACAATAATAAAAGTGTAATATGCTAATTAAACCAGACAGCCAAACGACCTTCCAGACGACCTTCTGGATGAAGCTGGGGCTGTGAAGGCTGAGTCCCTTGCATGAATTTTGTGCATCAGACCTCTAGTTTCATATAAATGGAATCATACAATGTGTGGATTTTTGTGACTGGCTTCTTTTAGTGTAATGTTTTTAAGGTTCATCCATGTTCTTCTGTTCTTTTAGTATCAATGGTTCTTTCTTTTTTTATGACTGAATAATACTCCATTTTGGAATGTAGCACATTCTGTTTATTCATTCATCAAGTGATGTACATTCAAGAGTTAATGGTTGTTTCCACTTTTTGGCTATTTTGAATAATACCACTTTGAACATAACTGTGGATGTATGTTTTCAGTTTTCTTGGGTGTATATCTTGGAGTGAAATAACCGGGTCACAGGGTAATTCTATGCTTAACATTTTGAAGGAGCTGTCAAATTGATTTCCAAAGTGGCCGAACCATTTTACATTCCCACTAGCAATGTATGTGGGTTCCAATTTTCCACATCCTCCCCAACACTTGTTATTGTCAGTCTTTTTTTATTATAACAATCTTAGCCGATGCAAAGTGGATACTTACTTCTTAGTCTCTTTTAGGCATCACTTCCTTTGGGGAACTCTCCTGTACACTCCTAACTTCTCCTCTCTTCTGGGGGTATTAAAAATCCCTCCGATGTATTTCCATAGAACCGTGTGCTCATCCTCATATCCTCATGACACTGAATTATACTTGTCTGTTAACTTTATCTCCTCTGTTACATGTGAACGTGTTAGGGAGAGTACTAAAATACTATTCCCTGTGGTATATCTCAGCATTAATATGTGTCTGATGCAGTTCTTTAATTTTTCCTTGGGAGGATAATGGAAATATTCATTGGTACTCCTCTATTTGTTAGTTGATATTTAGTGGTCTAGGAGAGAAGACAGGATTTTTTAGCCTGTAGGTTTGGTTATCTAGAAAGGTATTTTTTTCTTTACTGTTGTGTTAAATACAGTCTTCTTTAATTTACCAAGAAGTTGGAAGCAAAGAACTGAGGATACCAGACGATATCACAGTAAGGAGAAACACCTAGGTGGCTTTAAAATATAAATCTACTAGCCATTTTTACTCTGACCATTTTGAAAAGCATAACTGATTGAGAATTGACTGTGCTTTAAAGAAACTACTACCACTTACATACACTAGACTAAAACAATTGCAAATGTAGATAGATGTGCAGGAGATTATCATGAAATTTGTAGACCTTCAAAACTAATGCTCAATTCTGATGCTGTTTAGTTACAAGTATCAGAAATCTGGGATTCATTAGCAACAGGGTTGAGCAGATAGGGATCAGTGCTGGGGTTAAAAGCGGGAAGTAGAATTAACATAATTAAAGACTTTTTTTAAAGTTTGAATTAAAAAGTACAATTTGAAGGTTGACTCCTATTAAATTATAAAAGCCCTGTGCATAAGTATGAATTGAATTAGTTCTTTTGAGAATTTGTCTCCAAAAATATATTTCTTTAAAATGAATATCTTAAGTAATTTTATCTCCAGTTGTTATTTATGATCCCATAAAGATTCTTTTTATTTTAGTGTTTTGGGTTATTCTTAGTTGAAATGAGGTTATCCTTGGACTAGATAGCCATTCCTTTATTTGATAGTGTTTTCAGTATATTATTGGAAACTTTATCCAGCTTCTTTGCTATAGTTTTTGTATGCTTCTGGAATGAAGAGGAAATGGAGGAAGGAAAGAGAGAGAGAGAAACAAATGTAAGCTGGCCCCAGATCAGTGAGATAGTATCAAATGAGGCCAAAATGAATTTGGCAGATGCTCTTCTCATGTTTCCCACTTGAGCACACACATATTGTAACTTGGAATACCACTTGCATTTCTTTCATACTTAAAAGAGTTCTCTACAGCTTCAGTAATAAACTTTAACTTCAAATAGGAGCCAGGAATGAAGATTGACTCTTTTTTTTTTAATGTCTAAATGTACTTAAACTGTATATTTTGATATTAAGGGGTGAATGGTCAATAATACAGTGGATGCATTTTAATCATAGAAATGAAAGCGTGGAGGGGCAAACATAGTGAAAGGAATAATATTTTTAGTGTCATGTACATCTGAGTTTGAATCCACATTTTATCACTGAACTAGAGGCCCAGTGCCTGAAATTCGTGCATGGGTAGGGTCCTTAAGTGGCTGCCGGATGCCGGCTGGGGCCTCCCTTCCCCAGCTGCCAGCCGGGGCCTCCCTTCATTCCACACCACCCCTTGTGGTCAGTGCACATTATAGCGAGCGATTGAGCTCCCAGTTGGTTGAAATCTCGAGGGGACACTTTGCATATTAGGCTTTTATATATATATACTAGAGGCCCAGTGTACAAAAATTTGTGCACTCGGGGGGGAGGAGGGGTCCCTCAGTCTGGCCTGTGTCCTCTCACAGTC